ATGGTTGTATCTCTTCTTGGAGTTGTGTTGAACCATATAGTTACACGCTCCTTGATAAGAGCTGTTTCACTATCTGCGAAAGAGAACTTCGTGTTCGAAGGTGAGAAAGTGAAATCAATCATGCCTGGGGCACGTAGCTTCACGGCCTTGATAAGCCTGTTCACCGCATAGCGGGAACCCATAGCCCTAGTACAACCTGAGTCAAGTATGACAAAGGTAGGGTTCTTATCAAGATTGATCCGCTCTGTGAGAGCAGATAGGACGGTGTGCTGCAACGGAAACACCGCTGTTGCAGTTTCAACACCTTGCCCCTCGTATGGTTCAAAGACCTGGGGCACGTAACTCACTGATGAGTTGAACACGGGTTCTTGGTGCGCGCTCGGATCTGTGCCTCTACCTGATGATCCTGCTTGATTTCTTCTCTTCTTTCTCCGTGTTTTTCTTCGTGAGGCTTGTGATGCATAGTATGTATAAGACGTTTGATCGTCATAAGCGGCGTAATTCCAACTGGAGTCAGTATAATAACTGTCCTCATACCATGAATCCCAGCTCGGTGCGGTGGAACTCTCATAGGCCTGTGGAGATCCAGTTTGGTCGCCTTGTAAGGAGGCAGACTTAGCTGTATCCTTACCTTTGCCTTTTGCCTTTGCGCCTTTGAAGGAGCTTCCTTTATCTCCTTTGTCCTTTCCTTTTCCTTTGCCTTTTCCACCTTTTCATTTTTCCTTTCCTTTACCTTTACCGAAATAGCTGGAATCAGTTGGATCATGTTCTGCCTGGTTGGCTCTCCCTTTTCCGCGGTATGACCTAAAACGGCCACGTCCTTTTCGCTTGCCACCCTTTGCTCTTCCCGGTGATCCGGGACGCATTCTTGGTCTTCTTCCTTTTTTGAATCTCCTTGCAACGAAGGCCTCATGGTCATCAACTGTCCAGAAGACAGCTTCTTCATCCTCGGCGGCAAGAAAGCCTTCCTCAAGGGTGTCGTCGTCTTGGAGCCAGAATCCATCGACTCCATCGTATTCACCCTGATCGAGGATGAGGAAGTTTCGACCTCCGCGTTTACGGCGTTGGTCTCTCCTTCCATGGCGGTCCTTCTTGTGAGAAGAGTGCCGAATTTTGGGATCCTGCAGACCAGTTCTGGTCGTTGAGAACTGATCGAACATGGTCTGCCGTACCACAGGGTACGTGTAGGTCTCAATTCGGTGACCTTGGTTGGTCAATGCTGTTACCACCCTCTCACGTTGCATCTCATTTAGGTCGGACTGCACTAGGAAGAGGAGAGCTAGGAGATTATCATTCAGAGGAAACGCTCTTCGATGATTGTCAAGGCGTTCCTTGTTCCATGTTTCGAAATAGCGTGCGGCATATGTGTCTCTCTCGGCTGCATCCTGCATGCGCAAGAAGTTTTGGTCTGCCTGCACAGCTTGCATGAAATCTGGATGGGCATCCTCCAGAGCTATCTCTGGTAAGAGATCCATCCATGAGTTTTTCACGCGCTGTAGCACGATCTCAAACTTGGCAATCCAAGTCACAAAGTCTTGGTTGCCCTTCCATGCCTTGAATAGGCCGAGGAAACGCCACAGGAAAACGTACTGTTCTCCTTTCACGAAAAATGGACGCATCTTCGTCTTGAAGTAATCTACTCCATCTGGGGCTGCAAGCCTTTCTCGGTTCAGTGATTCCTTTTGTACTGCGGCCAATCCGGAGAGCCTCGTCTTGAGAGACGGACCTCTTTTGGTGTCATCCCGCGTTGTTATGTCGCACCAGTCGTCAATCAACTGTTCATACTCAAACCACGAGGTGGTGCCATCATAGGCAGGCGCGATCTTGGGCGTTATGCCTAATGATGCAAGCATGCGGTCAGATGTTGCATATGACTGTGCGACATACGTGGCTGGACCTTGGGAGGTCTCTTCGTTCTCATATCCCCCGGAGGATTGGGAACTGTCGTCGGCTTCGCTATGCGAGCTCGACATTGTGCTGCCTCTTATCCGCTTGGTTAAGCGTTCGGCGAGGCCGACCGCTGTAGCGGACTTTGGGAGGCTGGCGGCCCTTTCCGGGCTCCGCTACCAGAAAACTGAGCCGATACACCCACAAGGAAATGCTCCTTGTTAGGAGGTGTATGACCAGTTTATTCCCTAAGGATCAAAGGGCAGCGCCCTGCACACTGACAGTAGTTGTTTTGTCTTGCTACGCAAGGAGAGCTTGTCTTGTCTCAATATGGTAAAACCACTGTGAGCCAATGGGCAGCGGAATGTATATGTATGAGCATGCAGCCATTGCTGTAGGTACCTGTTAGAGCTACCCCTTTAGAGGTTTACGCAAACACCCCTTTAAGCCCCCCTTTAAGCCCCCTTCAAGCCCCCCTTTAAGCCCCTTAAGCCCCCCTTTAAGCCCCCCTTTAAGCCCCCCTTAAGCCCCCCTTTAAGCCAACCTTTAAGCACCCCTTAAGCCCCCCTTTAAACCCCCCTTTAAGCCTTCCGGAAGAAGCCCCCCTTAAGCTTCCCTTTAAGCCCCCCACGCAATCACACACCCACACACACACACACAAAGCAAGAAGAAGAAGAAGCCACACGAAATCGTTTTATGGGGTGTTTTTGCGAAGAAAATAAAATGAGAAAAGCAAACTTAATGAAACAAAACACAATTACAAGCCCCCACGCAAGCACACACACACACAAAACAAGAAGAAGAAGCCACACGAAATCGTTTGATGGGTGGTTTTTCCGAAGAAATAAAATAAGAAAAGCAGACTTCACAAAATCGCTTTTTGGGGTTTTGCGAGAAAATACAATGTAGCACCCACACTTTGAAGGCTTCAAAACCCCTTCTTCATCCCCCCCTTCAAGCCCCCTTCAAGCCCCCCTTCAAAGCCCTCCCTTAAGCCCCCTTAAAGCCCCTTTAAAGCCCCTTCAAAGCCCCTTAAAGCCCCCCTTTAAAGCCCCCTTCAAAGCCCCTTAAAGCCCCCCTTCAAAGCCCCTTCAAAGCCCCTTGAAGCCCCCCTTCAAAGCCCCCCTTAAAGCCCCCTTAAGCCCCCTTTAAAGCCCCTTTGTCAAAGCCCCCCTTTGCTCACCCCCTTAAAGCCCCTTTAAAGCCCCCCTTAAAGCCCCCCCTTAAGCCCCCCTTTGTCAAAGGGGGAGGGGCCCATAGAGGTAATTCCTCAGTTATTAGAATGCATCGTTTGTAGAGCTTGCAGGTATGCAAAATGACTCGGTTTGAGCAAGAACTAAAATTGGTGGCAACCAATGTTCGTACACATTGTTGATGGACATCGCGTATGGGCAGCGCTGAAGTCGCGTTGACAAGGTTGTAGGTAACCTGCTCCAAGACGGAGGCGAGGAGAAGTTTTACAGTTGACAAGAACGGACGTATCGCAACCGAATGTCCGCGTTAAGCATTGCCTCTGTTCCTGTGGACGAATTCACGCCTTCGTTACCGCTCTTTGCAGCATTCTTGCGCGTGCTTACCTTACTGCTCACGTGCAACGGTACCTTGCAGATGCGCTGTATCTGCAGTTTGACGGAGGATGCAAGCGGCATTTAACAGCTGGAGCTGGTGTTGCGGTGTGGCACCAATTCGTCACGGACACGGCGGATATTACCTTCTCTTTGCCTCTGCCGGACTGCGCGGATGCTTACGAGGCCGAGGCGGAGGCGGCAATTTGCTGCGATCCGATCGTTAGAGTACGCGATCACTCTCAGGGGACGGAAAGTCTCAATTCGAGTTGTCCACATACAAGGAGACAATCTTGCCATTGGGCCAGGGTTAGTGTTCGGGTTAACCCCAACCCCAACCAACCCCGAGTTGGGAGGGGTTGACCCGAACCCTAACCTCGACGCCAGGGTTCGGGTTGGGGTTAACCCGACTCCCAACCTAAGATTGAGACTTGGGGTTAACCCGAACCCACAACCTGGGGTTGGGGCTGGGGTTTAACCCGAACCCTACCTCAAGTTAGGGTTGGGGTTAACCCGAACCCACAACTTCCCACAACCTCCCGGGGTATGTTCAGAGAGAGGGACCGCTGCCGTGCAGCTGCAAAAGCCGCGTTTTCAGCTTTCGAATAAACCCAACTATGTTGCTGACGGGCCCATATATAAGTAGTCTGTAGATGTCTGCACGTCTCCACTGAAGCGATCTTACCTAGATCAAGCAAAGCGTCATAGTTTTGTCGCTTTCCATTTCGAGCCTTCTAAGCGCATTTCGCCCCTTCGCAGATTGTTGGCTGACGTTTGTCAATTTTTCAGCTAATTCAAACTTGATGCCTCCAATCTACTGAACTTAGCAGACAGACATGGAGGTTTCCTGTTCAATGAATACATTCACTCCTTATGTTTCGGCTCGGCAACTTGTGCGGCAAAGCAAAGCTTCATAAAACGACAACATGCGTAGTTGTACAGTTATATCTTTCGTTGCCGGTTCCATGTTCCATGTCTTTACTGGTTTCCAACCCGGGCTTGAGACCTCGGAGTTGGTATCGAGCTTGGACGAAAAAAAACCTGGATTTACGTACGCCGAGTTGTGCGGACAGCAGACTTGTCAACGGTTTGTAAACGAACATGGTGCAGCATCTTTGACGATGAAGTGGCGTTCGGCAAGGGAGTAAAACTTGAGAAACAGGTGTGGTGAACCTTTAATTCTGGGCTGCTCAACAATGGCGAAAAAGCAACCCCGTGCAAAAGGTCTAGTGACTAGTGCTGTTGCATGCACGAGATTCGTGGTCGCCATCTGCTTGCAGCCAAGCCGAGCACATACGAGCATACAACAATGTGGGCAAGGTGTGTAGCTGCATGCTTTTCTTGTCGTGTTGGTTGTGAAAACCTTCTCAACCCCGCACTCGCTAGGGTGATCACACTCGCATTTCCAGAGCCGTCTTGCGACAACCATGGGGCGACTCAGGGTGTAAGTCACTGCAGTTGCTGTTATGCAGGCGTGCCTCATTTTTTTAGCCGTCTGTGTCGTTGTTGTTGGAATTCTCTGCAGTGGACACGTGTACCAGATAGCAGGCACAATGCTGGTGGCATCAACGCGAACTGCAACAGACCTGGAGTTTTCCATCCAGGAAAGTGTGGTCGAAGAAATTCTAGATGTTGTTACATGCTGTCGTACTGTTCATCTTTGAGTCTTCAGGAACGTCCGGAAAAGCCCGACTAGTGCCACGAGGTTGCATTGGAGCTTTGACTTCCGCAGAAGCAGCCGTGTTTTCTCAACGCGACATTCCGAATGTGTACCAAGGTCAACCATCCGAAGCGAATCTGTTCAGGCATTGCGCTTGCGGTGGTCCTTCTTGAGATGCCGGTGCAGACATGACCATGCTGCGGGTTGGTGCCAGACCGTGGCCCCAGCACCCTGTGTCAGTATTTTGCCCATTTAAGTGCCGAGTGGTCCCCACCTCGGAAAGATAATTTGAAATGAAGACAGTGCAGACTCGACCTATAGCTGATGCTTGACAGAGAGAAGGGTTTCCTTCCAAGAAATGCAGGTGCACTTGCTCCTTTGTTCTGGTGGATGAGGCTTCCGTTTGTGCGGAACGGGCTCGGTCCAGTTCAGACATTACGAGCAAAGAAGCTATTCAAGCACATTGCCTTGCACACATTGGGCGTGGCAGCAGGAAGACGAGTCTAGCTTGCTTCCAAATGCCGTTGGAGCTGAAAGCCCAAGATGCTAACGATTCTGTTTCCTTGGTCATCTGCGTTCGTTTGACACAAGGCTGTCAGTCTATGGAGAGCAGAGAACCATTTGCATCTGCGACACGCGGTAAGTTGTGCATCAAAGTCATCAAAGTGTTCGATTGTAGATGTTGCCTCGATGCAGGCAGATGCGCGCGAGGAAGCATTCGAGCTTAAGCGCGAAGCTGGAGCAGGCAACTTCCTTTCTTTGTCTGTGGAAGTCTGCTCTTGTTGAGTTGCCCTGTTATGCAGGACACCCCGAGGTACACACAGGCTCGTAGCAGCTCGTGTGACGAGCCGTTCGGTTGAGGCAAGAGAATCTGCGCAGACTTCTTTGTCGTTGCCGAGGAGGAATTGTCGAGCATGACAGTCAAGGATCTGAAAGCGCTGTGCAAGCAGAGGTGCCATCAGTTAAACTTACTTGTTGACGCCGAATTCCGGTTTGGCGTTTTTGGACTTTGCTCTTTTCCCAATGATTCGGCAACAGCCAAGGTGCTTGAAAGTTTCGGGTAAGAAAGAAGACCTGGTGCATCGGCTTGTCCAGGTTGGGGAGGAACAGTTCTGAGCAGTTCGGATTCGTTCGTTCTGCCAGGTTGTAGCAGGTTTGCAGAACTACTCGACTGCCCGCCACCTGGAAGTCTTCACATAACTCTGATGCAACTTGTGCATACAGTTGCTGCAAGAGACGCTGGTTAAGGTGTCCGAGCCAGGAGAAAATGCTGCGGAAGAAACCTCCCAGGCTGAGGTGGGATACACACAGGCACGACAGTGCATCTTGTGCTGATGTACACTGTACACATGGGATCTCGCAACAGCATGTCGCCACGAGTCAGGCCCAGCAGGAGCTGAATGTCTTTTCCTTGCACGACCTGCGTGATCTCTGTGAAGAGAGGCCCGAAAACCTCAGATGCCTTAGGTTCCGAACGTGTCACGAAGCGAAGACCCCTGCAAACTCACTTTGAGGGGTCTGACCTCCACCGGGACCAAGGCACAGCGAGATTCGTTCCATGCTCTGAAGTGTGGTCAAATCCTAAACGGTCTCGTTCTGTGCTGAAAGGCAGATCTGGTGCGCCGCCTGACTGTCCAGCAGGACGGGTGTTGTTGCTTGTGCTCCCTTTGGTTCTGCTCGCCAGCGATTGCCAGGCCCAAGAGACTGACCGCGAGGAAACGAGAAAGGCTCAAATGCAGCCTTTGCAGAGTGCACGGCTCGCAGCCCAGACACTGTTCAGATCTGAGGAGCTGAATTCTTCTGACTCATGTCATGTCTCAGGCAGCAACTCAAGAGCCCGGAAGATAAGTTCTTGCAGGTTCCAGAGAGGTTACAGCTTGGCCTAGGCTACGAATCACCAGATTTCTGTGACCAGGCCATGAAGCAGGATACGCTGGACATCCACACTCTCGAGGACAGCGGAGCCTTGAAAGCCTTCGAGCACCAACGGTTGTGAAAGGAGTCGGGAGAGACGAAGGGACATACCATGACATGCAGCGGGTTTGTTCAAGGAACCAGGAGCTTGATTCATCTTGGATTCCAAAGGCTGTGCATGCTTTCGGTAGTATCGATCACCCATCACGGTTGACACAGCTGGCCGAGTTTCTGCCCTGAGTCTCAGCACGTGCCCGACAATCTTTGGGTCCTGCCAGTCCAGGAAATATTCCAGGCAGAGATGCCGAAACCAGGCGAAATCGTCACTGCCGGACTCTCTCTCTTCAGTGACATCGAGCCATGCATCTGTCGTGAGTTCTCTTGCCAAGGGTATCGTCACCTCTCTCGTCGAGTGGGGAGCGTTTGTTGAACTGGAACGAACCGGCTGGTCCTGCATCGCGTATTTAAGGGTTTGCTGAGCTGCAGTCTTGGGAGGGGGATGCTGTTGAGCCAGGTCGGGTCTCATCCACATCTCTGAGGCCACGATGCGTTTCGTTTCAAAGTCCCCCCTTCGCCTGAGCCGCAAGCATCGGCCAGCTCAGCGACGTCTTCGTGGACAACATCGAGGACTACATCCAGCCTGGCCAACGCGTCGAGGCGCGTTGGGCGAGCAATTCCTGGGATCCCCTAGCCGCCATCACGACCACTCGCCAGTCTTGCCAGGCGCTGGTCATCGAGAGACCTGGAGATCGACTTGACAGGACACCACCCCAGCTCGGCAGCTTGCGCTGCGCAAGTTCTCGAGAGGCTCAGCTTGTCACTACGAAGACTCAAGGACTTAAAGAAGTGCGCTTCCCCGCGTTGTGCTTCTGCTTGACCTGGCGAAGCTTGTTTTGTTGGCCCGCGAAGCCTCAAGCCGTGCATCACCCTGGCCAACGTAAAATAGGTACGACCCCGAGACCTTAGCTGCAGTGGGTCCGCTGGCGCCCATGGCGAAGCCTCTGTCTCATGGAAGCAGCAGGTCTTGTGCGCTGGTTTTGGTCTGGTGCATTTTCATGAGGCCCGGTGTAGTGCGAGAGGAGGAGTTCAGCCAGTTGCAGGAGCCAATTGTTGGAGCGTCTCACTCATGGTGTTCTGTCAGCTGGATACCCGAATCCCTTCTGCCCCTGCAAGTGGTTTCCAGCTGTGTACATCTCGCTGTGCCACATTGTGCAGGACCGGGTTGCGGCTCTTGAAGCCATCATCGTGGAGATGGGGCATGGTCAGGTCATCACGGCATTTTTGGCCTCTTGCTGTCTTCACTGAGTGGGACCTCAGAAGGCGCTGCGAGACGCGCGCTACCAGTCGAGCAAGTCGAATCGAAAGCTCGGCGCTTTGCAAAAAGCCGGACCAGGCTCTCGGAAAGCTTGCGAAGAAAGCCCGACAGCTGAGGCCGGCGGTTGCCCCTCTCGCAGAAATGCTCGAGGGGACCGGGACGGGGACGGAGACCCCAAAGTCCATTGCTGAGTGCAGAGTGCAGAAATCAGAGATGGAGATCGACACCAGTTTGCCTCAGGTCAAAGGGTCTTCCCCGCGAGAAAGCCGGGAGACTTGGCTTTCTGCTGTGGCTACGGACTTGCCGAAGCGCTGCACAATACACGGCCCTGCAAGAACCACAGTTTTTTGCTATGCCTTCTCGAGGCTCAGATCGACAGCATCTTGGATTCCATCCTTGCTGGCAGCCGTGCTCTTGGGTGAATGTTGCAGATCTCAATCTCTCGGCTCGGCTGCATAGTTGCACACTGGCGCACTGTTCCCAAGGCCAGGACCTGGACGAGAAGGAGGAGGCCCGATGAGAGCGACGACTCATGTCCCCACGTGCTCTGGCAGAGTCAGACTGTTGGAGTTGCCGGGCCGCAGCTAAAGCCCACTCTTTCGTAGATTGTTTGGTTGTGTTCTGACCGAGTCGAATGTGCGTCGCAGATCCTGTCTTGCCGGACGCAATAACCCGCCCTTGGGTGAAGATGCAGCCGAATAGTCTTCTCCGCAGCAGATTATTGTACCACTCACGCACACTATGCCATTCGTCACATCCAGCTGCGTGCAGGACTTGCCCTCCGAGACGTTTATGAACAGCGCGGCCAGCGAAAAAGATAGGATGGGAAGCATGTCGTCCTCCCACTCTTGCAACATCGTTGAAACGCGATCATCCAGAGCTGCATGCGGAGCGAGGAGGACGGTTAGCGCAATGTCTGGCCCAGAGCGAGTGCAAAGCTGTCAGACAGTCTGTTGGGCATTGGTTGCTTTCGCCTGAGACCGTGACGCATAGCATCTTAGTTCTTACGGTATGTCAGGGTTAAGTGGGATGCCCTCCTTATGGTCCCCATGGTCGCCGAGCGGCGTTCGCTGGCTGGCTGTCTGACTGAGATCTTTCGTGTGCCACTTACTGCGTCGCCATAGAAGACATGGCGTCGGTTTGGACGAAATCCAAGGCGGTGAGCTGCACCTCATACCTTTCGACAATGTGGCAACTCTGGCTCGAGTGTGGTACATAGTCGCAAGAGTTTGTTGAGGGTTCAACAAAAGTGCCAGCACAACAGGTATCGTCCCTTCGACAGGAACGGAGTGCCGTTGCTGTCGCGATCCGGCCGCTGTTTCTGCGCCTCCGAGAGGTCCGGCAGCTTTGCACCGTAGACTCCCTAGGCCAACGTGGCTCGCAGCCGGTTAAGATGCTCGGTTTTGGAAAGTTTGAGTGCCAGGCAGAAGCAGCGGAGCTTCCAGATGCCTGGCGGGCTTTTGACCGTGCGACGGTGATGTTGGCAGACCTCACTGCCTTGGAAGACTGGGGCGGTGGGGTCTTGTCTGAAACCCTGCGAGCGGCTGCAGTACAAATTCTCTCGGCTCGTCACGACGTTTTGGAAACCGTCGTGGACACGCACCTGTCTCGGCTGGGACGCTTTCGTTCTGATCCGCATGCATGCTCCATGGAGCAGCATCTCCTAACATGGCGCTTGCTCGAGCGATCGTGGCAATCCAACTTTGCAAAGTTCAAAGGCTTCAAGCACGACTCCGTCCGAGCGCACGCAAGAAGTTGTCACGAGACCTTGCAGGGCTTGGCCAATGGAGCTCCGGTTGAGGTCTGGGTTTCCAGATTTGCACGCTGTGTGGACATCGAATTAGCTATTGACAGTTGCTTACCGTCGAGCTACGCCAGCCTGGCGACTTCTTGTGCTACCACGTGGCTGAATCACAGTCTTCCACTACTGCCTTGGATTCTTGCATTCTTGATTTCACCTACCAAGCAGCTGGATCTCACTGTCTTGCAACGTCTCCGCAAGGCGCTGGAGGTCTGCAAAGACAGCCAAGCCCTAGCGCATATGCGAGATGCCTTTGTTAATGCCTGCGCACTTTTGTGCGCTGCCGCATGGCTCCAAATGGAGCCAGTGTCATGGTTAACGTCTCTCCTACATGCTATTCACGAGGCATGCCAGGTGGTTTTGCCAGAAATTTCGCCAGGGTCCCTGGCAGCTGCAATGGCCGTTTCTTTGGCCCCTGCCCTCGGCGAGTCGAAGGAGCATCCGCCGCCTCAGCCGCCTCCTTGGAAAGCGCTTGGAATCGACTCGCCAGCAGGGGCCCTGAACATCTCGGACCTGCCCCGCCTGCCCCCGGCCCTGGCGCTGCACACGGGCACTCGAGACGTCGCTGAGTCGATAGCCAGAGCTCTGCACGGCGAAGTCAAGAGGTGCTCGGCTGCAGGTGCGACTGGGACTGTGATAGAACCAAAGCTCGTAGCCGTTGCGATCCTGCCAGGTGGCATATGGCCCGGAATGATGGGGCCTCTTCTGCTCCTCTTCCGGCTCCTACCGGATGCAGGCCGCCTGAGACTCTAGAACTCTCTAGGAACGAAAGATCGTTTTTCGAGGCAAGGAGGCCCAGAAGCAAACTAATGGCGTGCAGAGCTCTAGGCTCTTGGTTGTCTGGGTTTCTTTTCGACAGGCGGTGCTCCACTTCTGTGGCAAGCACGCCTCATGTCTCTTCGCGCCTTGCGGGGCTTTCGCGTCCAGGATTCCGAGGTCAGGGGCTCAGAGATGTTGGCTGCTGTCGGGTGTCGCTGTCAGTTTTCTTGCTGCTGGGGGAGGAGATCCATTTGGAGCATCGCCTTCTGGATTTCTTTCGAAATGAATGCGGCCATGGACATTCTCTCCTGCGACATGTCGCAGAGATCCTGCGAGAAAGCTCTTCGAACGACAGCGCGGAAGTATTTAAGGCCACGACACTCAACATGGCGGCTGCATCCAGCCTTAACTTCAACTCCATTTCAATGCTTTCACTGTCGGGATCCCCACCGACGTTGTTCTCTGCATCCCGACCGATTGTGGAGGCACAATCTCGCTGGGCGGAAAGTTACCTGTCGAGGTATCCAAACAGGAAGCTCAGGTGGCGCATCTGGGGTGCAGCGAAAGTGCTGTGGAGCCATGATCGAGGACAAACACTGCTTACAACGACGGAGCTGCAAGCGCACATCCTGCTGGCACTAGGTCAGGGTGAGGGCTTCTCACGCAAAGACTTCGAGGAGGCAGCGCTCAGCTGGTCCCAAGCCGACAGCGAAGTTGATCAGGCCTGTCGCTGCTCTGCCGACCCATCGGGTCGATGTGTCCAATTGTGTCATGCTTGGGCCTTGGGCAGTGCTGCCTGCACTGCATGGTGACCTGGTGTCAGGACCTCAAGCTGAAGCCTTGGCGCCTGGCGCTGGCGCAACTTTCAGCACAGAAAGAGGGTCCGGTGGAGCTCGACTCCGAGAGGCTGCGTGTGCGGCCAAGCTGTGGCTGCTCGGAGCTGGACCTCACCGAAGTGCCCGACTTTTCCACGGAAAATCAAACACAGGCGGGCCGAGAGGGCCCGAGCCAGATCCGAGCCAGAGCGCATCGAGTTGTGCAGGAACCTTCAAGCCCTTCACGAGATGCCAGAGCACCCATCATCGATGCAGCCTTGGTGAGGATACTGAAGCCTCTCATCTGCAAAGCGATGGGTTCACGCTTCCGGCTTCCTGCACTGCCGTGTGCTGCAGGGTGTGCCCTGGAGGTCTTGTCATGTCTTGTCGGCCGATGAAGTCTTGGCGAAGCTTGCGGCGTACCCCGAAAGCCTCGCTTTGCCGGTGACTTTGCACCGGGGGACATTGTACGACCATAGCCTTTAACACCTTTTGTGTACCGCTGCGAGGCCGGAGAATCTGCCCAATACGGCCTTCTCAACAGCCAGGCTTGCCGCCCAGGCAAGGTAAGTCTTTCAGCTTCCTGAAACTGAGCTCCGCTCTGGACATGTTAGGATTCTGTTGAGTCCTTCGGCCGCCTCTCCTCGCTGTGCGTGGCCTGGCATCAGACGTGTACAGTTCGGCTGCACATGCTTAGGTAAGGGATGTTTCAAAGCTTCTCAGCTCTTGCTTGTTTAGGCATGTGCAAGGGCAGCGGGGCGGTGTCAGAACCTCTCAGGATCGAGGCATCCTGCGAATGGAGCGCCGCTCCCTGAGAGATGCAGTCCCATGCCTGATGGCTTCAGATATTTCGCGATGGTCGAAATGAGGCCTGGACGGCGAGACAACAGGCGATTGCCCAAAATATGTGGAGCATGATTGGGGACCGGGGTCCTTGCTTTGTTGGACGAGGCATTCCGGTATTCCCAATCAATTCCTCCCTACTTCCTGCATCCTGTCGCGACTGTATGAGCTGCACGGGCAGACCGTGTGGAAAAGCAGGTCCTGTCGACGGGGCCACGCGCATCTTCTACGAAGAGTGACATCTTCGACTCGGGCGGACGTGCACGGAGCCAGGAAACTCTGGGCCGAGGCGCAGCTTCATGATCCGTTCGCAACAGTAACTGCAAGAAGGTAAAGATTTCCGTTTGCATTGCCCTGCCCGCAGAATTCCTGCTGCACTTGGAGCTCTCCAGGACCGACATGGGATTACCTAGAAAGCGTTCGTGCACCAGCATCGGAGAGTGCGGCAGCTCTTGCTTCTGACTGTTGCATTATCGTCGTCACTTGGCTCCAGCATCTGCGTTCTACCGCCTTACTGAGATCGAACAACTACCGTAGTTTGCCACTCGGTTGGAGAGTGCGTTGCATCCGCGCCTCTGACATCGGCGCGCTCGGCCCAGCTCGGCCCAGGGTCCCTATGCGCGCCTCTGGCCGCTACCTTCAGGCTTTCTTGGGCCTGGCAGGCCGTTCGTCGGCCGTTTCTACGGCTTGGAGTTTCTGCGTGTGGTGAGCTGATGCCAGGTGTAGCTACCGGCTTGCTCAGGAGCTCCGTGCAGGTGACTTCGATGCATCGAGCTTCCATGAGCCTGTCTTTGCAGAATTGCCGGAGGCTGAGTCCTCGGTGGTGGCGACAAAGGCCCGGTAGCGGGGAATGCCGATTTCAGATGGTTAGGTCTCCAAACTTGGTAATGTGTAGCTGGTGCAGCAGGACAGGATGGGCAGGGTCTATCGAATATGCTGCCCATCACATCGGATTTGCTGCAGCATAGATGTCGCAATCGTCGGTCGCAGTACTTACATAGGCATAGTCCTAGCTCTGCTGCGTTCAGGTCGATGTGAACTGGGGAACGACACACCACTGTTTTCGAGACTAGACACTCCGGCATCAAGGGATCAATGCACCTTTGGCGAGTCATGTCTTCGAAGTATGTGCTGAACAAACGTAGTGGCAGCTGCCTTAGACCTCTTGTGGCCTCGTCTGAAACTGATGGGCGTGCCCGAGGACACAAACCACGTCTCTTCGAGGGATCAACGTCATTGTGTCACATCAGTGGTGGACGTTTGGCTTCGAGAGCACCTGCTACCGGTTCAACGGCGTGTGGGCAACAATGCAGTTTGTCAAACTTGAATGGTGATTATCCGATGTCGCAAGAGCTGTCAGACCGACTCGATCGCCCGTCTCTCGAGGGCTCGCGCTCTGGTCTTGCTCGAACGAGTGCCAATCGAGAACCGTTGCCACCTGATCGGTATAAGAACTGAACGAGCCAAAGGTTTTGAGTCTGCTGGCCCTTGATCAAAGGATTTTTGGCATTCTCTCTCCAGCCTTTGTCCTTTCCTGTTTAGGGGTTGGCCGTCGATGGCACTGTTTTCCAGAACTGCTTAATTAGCCGAGAGATAGCCGCTATGTTTCGGTTCGGTGCTCATTAATGCCAGTTTGCTATGCATAGCTTTTGTTCAGGTTTTGGTGCTGTTAGGGCTTTGCTGCCCACTGCTTTCTTGAGGGGTTCGGGCTTGCTGTCCATGACTTTTTATCGGGTTGATGAGTTTGCCACTCCGTCTGACTTATCCTCTGAAGGCTTCTGCATGGGAGCTGGGGGGTGTGGTGCGGCTGGGTTGGACGGAGCACGTTGGGACTTGCCAGGTTTTGTGTGGCGAGGGCAGGCCAGGTACAGGTACTCGTAAGTGTTGGGCAGCTACAAGGATGAAGAGGGGAAGAGGTGTTGTGTCGGTTTCGGGCCGGGGACTTGTGTATTTCGGGGAGCGAAGGTCAGGCCGGAGTCTGTGCAGTTTCAGGGCTTCTCAACCAAAATGTCGTTTATTGGGGTTTTCCAACCAACCTGGTATCCAGGTTTCCCAGCTTTCATCCCCTTTCAGGGTACTGCTCTTCGGGCCTCGCGCAGCCAACCTTTTCTTTTGGGGTGGGCTTCGGTCAAGCTTCAATCTCCCTTGACCATAAACCGTCAGGGCATCTCGACCGAACTCTCGTATTGGCGGTTTGGAGCATTTTGGGCTTTGGCAGGCAACATCTCTGGGTTCCGCAACCAACATCTCCTGTAAAGGACTCCTTAATGAAACCTTAAACGGAACCTTTAAAGGAACCTTTAGAGGGTTTGGGTTTTGCCACCATGTACGTTAAGGGTTTTGGTAACCAAAATGGTTTTAGGGTTTAGGTTTCCCAGCTTTCGCCCCATTTCAGCAGGGTAACGGGTCTCGAGCCACTTCGGTAGAAGCCTTCTTCCTCAACTTTGTGCGGTTGCATCAACCAAGATTCTTTCAACCGCGCTTCCTTCTACCCTGTTCGCCGCGTCCCTCAACCCAGATTTAGTCAACGCCCCTCGCCCGCTTCCATCAACGCAGACCGCTCTTTTGCCGGATAACGCAGCCCTTACCCTTGAAGAATGACAGGCGCCCTGAACATGCCGGCCGCCGTACGTCATGCGCCCCCTGCCGTGCAGGTGCTAGTCGCAGTGCGGTGCGGGTGGTTAGGGCAGCGGGCGAGGGCGGGGCACAAGAATCCGCGTGTCCGTGGTTGAGTGAGTCCTTGTGGTTTGGGTAGCACGCGGGTCCGTAGTTGGAGCGACTCTTTGTGTGTGGGTTGAACCAAACAGTTGTTTGGGTTGAAGGAATCACTCCCTGGGCCATGGTTGAGCGAACCTGCGTGCCGGGGTTGCAAGAGCCAGGTTTTGGGGTGGAATGCATCCGCGTTTTCGGGTTGACAGAATCCGCGGGCACCGGTTGAATGAATAATTGGCGAAAAGTTGAAGGAATCCGCGCGCGACCAGCAGCCACTTCGGACGAAGCCTTCTTCCTCAACTTTGCGCGGTTCCATCAACCAAGATTCTTTCAACCGCGCTTCCTTCTACCCACTTCGGGCCTCAAGCGCCAACTTTCTTCTGCGGGGAGGGCTTTGTTCAAGCTTCAATCTCCTTTGCCCCTAAACCGTCAGGTCATCTCGACCAAATTCTCGTTCTTGGGGTCTTGGCAGCCAACATCTCTGGGTTGAACAGCCAACATCTCCTTTAAGGGTTTAGGGCTCCTCAATGACGCCCTTTTAGGGTTTAGGGTTTAGCAATATGTCCTTTAAAGGTCTTGGTTCTTCAGCCGACATGGTTTTGGGGTTTAGGGGTTCCCAGCCTTCAACCCCTTTCCGGGTACTGGGTTTCGAGCTACTGCGAGCCTCAAGCAGCCAACCTTCTTCTGTGGGGTGGGCTTCGGTCAAGCTTCAATCTCCCTTGACCCTAAATTGTCAGGGCATCTCGACCAAACTGTCGTTTTGGGGGTTTGGGCTGCTTCGGCAACATCTCTGGGTTCCACACAACCAACATGTCCTTTAAGGGTTTAGGGCTCCTCAATGACGTCCTTTTAGGGTTTAGGGTTTAGCAACATGTCAAGAGTTTTGGGTTTTGCAACCAACATGTTTTTAGGGCCATCTGTTTCAAGGGCTCTGGGTGTTTTGACCAACGTCTCCGGGTCAGTGTTTGGCTTGGATTTTTCAACCACCATCCACTTGTGGTTGACTGCACTATGAAGGGCCAGGTGGGGATTTAGGACGTAGGGGTTGGGGTTTGCGATTTGTTTTTTGTGAATGTCTGCGGGACTTTGCGGGATTCCTCAAAACACGACCCGTCAAGGCGATGGGGGCGGCCCTGTCCAACTGTTTGAGATGCTAATTCTAACCACAGCTTTTCTGAGGCACAGCCCACGAGTGCAGAGTCCAAGAAGGCCGCCAACAAACCGCCGCAGAATTGGACAAGCTCCGCAGCCAACGGGACGAGGACGAAACCCAGATCCTCTTCGATCAACGGCTTGCCGGGAACACGGCATGAAGGCTGGTTCTGCACGTGTTGAGGCCTGCTTCTTCCCACTTGGCATGCCGTGTTCTACGGGTGACAGAATGCTCGCAGGATCTTGGACCCCAAAGCGTTGCTCCAAGATCTCCAGCCGTATGCTCTAGTGCGACCCCCAATGAAATCGCGGCGGCAGGACAAGGAGTACTGCCTCCTCCAGCCGCATCCCGCCCTTCTGTTCCGGCATCTCCCAACTACCACGAGCAATCGCATACCTACTATTACAACCGACAGCACTGAAGAAGCGCCAAGATGCAGGTGATTGGACGTTCCTGTACATCCTTAATGACTCACCTTTGGATGATCCCGCTTGCTTTCGCAGGGTTCGCCGGGAACTAGCTGAGCGGTATTAGACGCGGCGTGCTCCGCACGTCCGTCTTGCCTTATGGGAGTAGATACCCGAAGTGCCGGATACAGGGCGGCGGTCGGTCGCTGTTTGGCTCAGCGCTACTGCTCTGCCCTGGCCATTCCGCTACGGGCTTCTGTCCAGTCTAGCTCGGAGCTTTAGCCATGGCCGCACTGGCGGAGCATCTTGCGGCACCGATAGTCCTCTGGACTTCTATACAGGCGATACCAGTGCTCTTTGGGGCGCTGCCATCTGCGGCTACACGACAGATACTTCGTGCCATTGGATTGCAAGAGCGGTCCCCCACAAACACTGCCCCGGCAGTGCCTCCCCCCGCCCTCGTGCGGCTCCCGCTGCCAGCAGCTTGAAACGAACCATGACGGAGGTCGCCCACTCCTGTGCTGAAACGGAGGTGCGGCGTAGCCCTTCCCAGCCCCGCCTCCCACGTAACCGTGGAGTCCACCCCGGAGATCCGAATTGCCACAGGCACCTTCGTCTTTGGCCTTTAACCGTCCGGGGACACTGCATCTATGTCCGCTGTGCGAAATGGTTTCCGCGCATTGGGAGGCAACTGAAGAATTGGGGTTTCATTCGCTGCTGGCTTCGGTGTGTGAAGTTTCCAGCTTGAGACGCCTGGGATGCCGAGCTCGGCCTGCTGCGTCCGAAGTCTCCACCAAAGCAGGATAAGCACAACAGCACAACAAGGATGATAAGAAGGACGAGCCCCGCAACCACGAAGCTGACAAGTAATGTTGCTTGTGCAGTGCGATTTTCCGTTTCTTCGCTGGAGCCGGTTGCTTACCGCGGCCCAGCACTGTGTGCAAACTAAGTATGGTTCACAGCGACGTCTGCTGTTTGCATTTTGGGCCCAAACAACCCCTCCAACAGCATGTCTGTCCATGATTTTGCCGAACCACGAGTGCGGCTTGCAAGACATCTTGTGCACTGCATCTTGCCCCCGCCAGCAAACGTGATGCATTCACTTCGTCCGGCTCGTTTGCGCAGAAACTTTTCACTCAAGAATCGTAGCATGTTCACTGTGTCTGGCACGTCTGCCGGTCGCACGTCTGCTTGCGGCTGGTGACGTGCGTACAGATTGCCCTGTCAGATCTGTTAGATGGTGCTGTTACTGCTCTTGGGAGAGCGGGGCAAGGATTACGTCATTAGGTTCCACTGCCAATGCATCCGTTTGGGTTACCCGTGATTGCACTTGACATCCTGACAAAACTTAGGTTTTACGCATATTTCATGTTAAATATGGCCTAAGCCGAAAAAATTCTGCTAAGTATTCCCTACCAGCGGGGGCAGTAGCAGTATCACTAGCAATCGCAGGCGCGTTTGTAGTCGTGGAAGCAGTCGTAGTTGCCGTATTTCCGGCTGTTGATAGCTACGACTTGATATAGTGTACCCCCCCCCCCCTGAAATAGTTAATGGCCCGTGCCCGACCCAAACCGACGGACTCGCAAAGGACACCCACGGCCCGAAATGATGGGCCTGAAACTGCGCCGCCCCTAACGCAGGAAATCGCTGGACAGCCGACCACACATGGCCAAAGGCTTGCGCTGAGATGGAGGTACAGCATTTGTTGTCGTATGCACCTGAGCAGGCGGCCAGAATCCCTTGCTGGGCGATTAGTTGCGCCGGATGACATCCCAGCCAAGCAAAAAGCAAGTGATCCGTACCAAGGCCTGACTAGTCTGTCTTCGTGAAATGGACATACGCGTCTGCAGCCCTGAACAGTTGCAACAGCTTCTGGAAACGTCACCTTTTCCAACGACCTTGGGCTTCAGCCAGAAGCTCAAGTGGCTGCTACAGCTATCCTTCTGAACGCAGTGTTCTCGCCATATCACGAGCTGGTTCTAGGACATCAGAGCCTGACGCGGGGGCCGCCGCCCTGGGCGAATGACTGACATCCGAATAAATATCTACCACCTTCAGCATGGGACCAGGTCGGGTTGAAGCCTCTGTTCATCCTCTTCGTAGCTGGGATCTTCTTCCTCCTCCTGGTGGCAGCACCCTGGCTGTGCAGGGATTTGGGCATTGGTGGCAAGCAATGCGATGAAGAGTTTGTGCACTTCGATGCTTCTTACGTTGCAGGTATGTGTTATTCTGCCGCAGGCTAAGCCTTCACTGGAACGTGCCTGCATGGCACAGTTGTCATGCTTGCTTGGCTTTTCAGTTCATGGGGTCCATGACGCTCCAGTTGCCACCCTTTCGCAACCTGTCGGAGATCTCGGGTGGATGTCTCTTCCCGCTGTCTGTTCTCGATGTCTTGCATTTCGGGCTTCCCGGGCACGGTGCTGTTGTCGGACTTGGTGCTTTGAAAATAGGCCAGGCTGAACTCTCAGCCGTGGGTGCAGCCGGGCCAGCGAGCCGACATGTCGCAGTCAGCGATCAGCCGGCGAGCGTTCACGGCTTTGTAGGGTCGGGTGTTGCGTCGGCTGGCACTGACCTGTGCTCGTGCTCTCCTCTTTGTGTCCGAGGTGTTGTAGAAGTTTTTCGAGCACATGCCTGGCATGCTGTGAAGCTTCAACCGCAATCTCATCGACACTGCACCATCTAAAAGTGCACATGCACTAGAGCAATCTGTGGACCGTCGCTCGCGAAAGTTCTTTTCCTGGGCTGCACACACCCCAATTCTACCTAACCTTCTCAGACGACGGCCTTCCATTCCCAGGCCCCGGCTGCAGGGCGTGACGCTGGGCATCGCTGGCACTTTGGAAGAGAGGCGCACGACACGAGACACGAGACACGAGACGAGACGAGTGGAGAGTTGCGCGCCTCAACACTCTCCGCGCTCAGGTACTCCCGTCCAGACCTGACGAAATCCATCGAATAGATTCCAGCACCGCAAGGGCATGGCTTCCGCAAAGGCCTGCCTCGAGGTACCGAGGCCCGGTGTGAAAGGATGGGGGCTGTCCCGAATTCTCAGCACTGTGCCACTGTGAAGGTGGACGGGGCCTGTCTTCGGGTTGGGCCGATGATCGGCATGCGCCCGCGCTGCCGAGACTTTGGTTTCACTGTACATGTTTCGAGAGCAGCAGATGCAGCTGCCAGACCTGGGACCGAGTGCAAAATCTCAGCCTGCTCGCATGCCATTGCGCACGGCCAGTACCCCAGCCAATTCCCACCGCAGAGTTTTCAAATCGAGTGTGGAAAGACCCTGCGCTGCCTGCGCCCAGCCATGAGCTCCCCAGATCCTCCCACTGCAGACTTCTTCCCGAACTTACTGGAAGACCGGGATCGGGAAGGCCTTGGGAAGAGCCAAGGACTCGAGCGGAGTCAAAGAAGCTCCGGCTCACTGCGACTTTTCAAGGCTACAGCCGCTACAGCCCAGCCCGATGCAGCCGACGCAGCCGAGCTGAAGAAGGACACAGAGTCCTCTTTTGACGTCGAAGGTGTCCTGGATGTCTTGGTCGCCCTCCGATGCTTCCTGCCACTGCATTGAGGAACTCTGCAGGGAGGACCCGTGCTTTTCAAGGGACTTTGCTAGCCGCTGGCCTTGCCAGGGCCTTGTTGGCTGCCAGCGTCCATCCAGGGTTGCTCTTTTTGGCACGCAGGCCACAAGGGATGTACAGAAGCCTTGGGCGGGTTGCAGATACCGCTTTTCGCATAGACCGCGCAGCTGAAAGGCCTCATTTTGCCGGCCAAAGCAGCACGCCAGCGATTGCGCAGACACTGCCACCAGCGTAGGAAAGGTTGGTCTGCATCCGAATCCAACAAGGGCGGTACCCTGCTTCTTTGAATCAGCGGGATGCACGCTTGTACAGACCTTTGCCCCGGGCTGTAGCCTTTGCAGAAGTGTGGAAGCGCTTCGGACCTTGTCCGAGGGACGTAGAGTCATTGTGCCTCCAGAGGGAGTTCCTCTGCAGCCCGCAAAAAGAAGCTGAGTTTGGAGCTTGCACATGCCATCCTGTACCTCCAGCTCTCCTTCGCCGTTCTGAGATAGCAGGAACCGCGCGGCTGGCTGGTCCAAAGCGAGGTCCAGGCAGCTGTGTTGCACTCAGCACAGTGTCTGCTTACATCACCTGGCTCTCAGGCTCTCATGACTTGGGTGAAGGAAGGCAACCTACCACATTGGCACTACAAGGATGCAGTTCCGCACGCTGCCTGCAGCAGAGATGGCTGTGCCACCGGAAAAGTTATGAGTCGAGGGTCGGCGCAGTGAACGGAAATCGCTGTTGTGGAAGGTCATGGTCTCGTCGCGATTGTGCTCCGAAATTGCTCGAATAAGCAGCTCAAGCTAAATGTGAACACGGAAGAACTCATGCCTGGATTTTCTTTTGACGTTCTGTACAGCCGGCTAGGCTAGTAAAGGGCGCTTTACTTCCTCGAGATCCAATTTCGCCAAGTCCACATAGGAGCATACTGCACAGTCTTGTATAGAGTCAGAGCGGCATGCTTCCTTTCGGACGTGAGATGCCGGTCTCGACATGAATGTGAGTGCTTCACAAACTTCAGGACGCGGGCCTGGGATGGGTTTGAAAATGCCAACAATAAAAGGCTGCGTCGCCATAGCTCGTCTGACGAACAGAGCTTGTAGGAGCCTCGCAGACGGTGACCTCTGTTCGGGCCGGATGTGGACTTCCTTGGGCGCATGGACATGGGCAGCTGCCCCAGGTGCCTTGGCTCTAGAGTGCACTTGATAATAGAACATTCTACGCCAAATAAAGTGCTATGAAAAGACCGTCGCACACTATGACTGATGAGAATGAATGAAGTGGGCGCACTCCAATTTGTAAGACAGCCGGTAAGGCGCCTCAGATGCAGATGCATGGAGTACATTCGTTCGTCCCAGTGGTGATGCGCACCGTTGTTCCTCGTCGTGTGGAGCCTGTGGTGATGGAGCCCGTGGTGGTAGTGCAGCGTCAGTTTTCTGCGCCTTGCCTGGTCCGCAAAGCCTCACTGACGGCACCAGCTGCTCCTCCTCCAGGACAGGGACATGGGTTCGTTCAACCCGAAGGGCGGACGATGCGGGCTGTAAGAAGGTGGGGATTCGGATCACCGTGACTCTGGAAGTGCGGTCGTGCCCTGAAGGAGCTGCAGCGCGAGCCAAGGTGGAGGCAGTTTGTGTTCCTGCAGAGCCACTGCCCACCTGGGCCGCCCCCGCAACTCCTCCGCAGGGATCGCGCGTGAGCCCTTCCCATGACAAGCCCGAGAATGACAGCGAGACCGGCATCCCTGCCGACGGCAGCGAGAGAGAACTCTTTCACTCAAACGGCACGCTTGCCTCCGAGTCTGAGGAGTGTGTGTCCGAAAGGGACTTCAGTCGGATGCGTGCCAAACTTGAAGCAACCCGGAATGAACTCGTGGAGAAGATGGCAGAGCTCATGAAGCTCGAGGCGAATCTCTCTGTGGCTCTTGGCGAAAAGCCAACCGCCTGGAGCGGCCTCCCGTCCTCTTCGGACAGCCCGAAGGTGCCGGAACCGGCGGAACCGGCGGAACCGTCGGACCCTGCTCAGTCATCTGTCGAGATGCAGGACCGCGCAATCGGTGTGGTTGCAGAGGAGTACGAGTGTGAAAGCTCTGTGGCAAGCTTCCAGGCACCCGAAAAAGGCTGCAACACCAGAGCTGTCGGAACTACCACCGATGACCTCATGGCCACAACATCTGACGAGACTGTCAAGGATTTGAATACAAGTCAGACATCGAGCTCCCCGGACAAGAAGGAGGGAAGCAGAAGCGACACTGCCCGGAGCGCCCCGAGTCGCGCTGGCTCCGGTGGTTCCGGCAGTTCCGGGCGTGTTTCGGCCTTGCTCAAGGCGCCTCCGGTTTCGGGCCGACTCTCACTGCGCAGGAGGGGGTCGCAGACTTCGGCCAATGAAGCCAGTGACAGCAAAGACCCCGGGGAGCTCTCGGGTTTGCAACGCTCTGCCTCTGCCACGATGGCCAAGAAGCTGCGAAGGAGCTCGTCAGCGGAGCTCACAGGCCAGAGTGGCCAGGGCACAGTCAGGTCTGATCTGACAACTCTTCTGCTTGCAGGCAGCGGCAGCGGCCTTTTGGCTTCCGACGTTGCCAGGTTGGTGGCTTCTCCCGAGATTGGTGCCACTCTTGCAGTTTCCTGTGCCGTGACTTCTCACTGCTGATGGCAGCATCTCTGTGTGTGTGTGTGTGTGCGCAGTAGGTACCTTGAACGATTTCCTGCCGCATCCCATCCCCGAGCCGGAGGCCCGTCTGTGGATCTGAGTAGCCCAATTGCGCATGCAGCTGCGCAGGTGTTGCGCGAAAGGAGCGCCGAGGCTGTCCAGAAGCTTTCCCAGCGATGTGGGCTCCAGTGGCCGATTCAAGCACTCAAAGTTTTGTACTCATCAATATGCCGTGTGTGCGTTGGATGTGCAGGCATCTGCTGGCAACGCGCAACTCGGCATCAGCTCTTTTTCTTTTACAGGTCTTACTGCAGCGGTCATGCTGAGATGGGCTTCTCTTCTCAACTGCAATGGTTGAAGGCATGTGGCAAGCCGTCAGAAGCACGCTTCGGCAAAAGCTTCGCAGGCGTGTAAGCCAAGAGTCGGGCGGCTTCAGCCGGTTCAGCGATGCAGTTCCTTGCAAGAGGCCAAGGAGATGCAACGCTCCTCCAGCGAAGCCAGGATTCGAGGCCCTTCTTGAGATCCGAAAGAGGGAACAGGGAGGGGAAGCTGGTCTCTGCAGGCTCTCGAGCAGGCTCTCGAGCAGGCTCTCGAGAGGCCGTGAGTCGCGAAGTGAAGCCCAGGCGAGGACCGAGGAGGGTTTGGGAAAAGTGTATTTTCCTAGTTTCTCCTGCCGTCTTTGCTTCCCACTCCTTTTGTCACTCCAGGCTTCCGCAAACCGCCTCCAACGAGAGGCAGCGGCAGCGATGGTTGCGAACACAAAGATACCAGACCCTTTGCGTACGGAGCTGTCCAGGAGCACGGGCAGCAGGATGCCGGATCCTCATGTCAAAAGTCCTGATGCAACAGCAGAAAACGCAGCGAAAAAGCTACACAGCTACAGTATGATGAGGTAGCAACTTCCATCAGATCCTCAGACCGAGGCTTTCGAGTCAGCAGTTGACATGCAATGAGCAGCCGCGGCAGTCGCCCAGTCCGCAGCGATTGAGGACTCCCGGGTCTTCTGTGAGATGTTGAGGTGACATCAGGGCAAGTTGCAGGATCAGGTCTCGCACGTGGCGGCAGTTAATAGTAATGCGTAGAAATACTGACCTAGGGGTAATTACCAGTGGCAACTCGAAACTCATAAATGCCAGCATAATGCCCCCTGGCCTCAGAACCTTGCTGTATAGTGATCTCAAAAATGCTAGTAGACTTCATGTCTTCCACCGAGAACAGGCCCGGAACGCCTCAGCGAGGGGCAACAGCGCGAGCCGCAACGCCTCAGCGGGGCGCGGTGGCGCGAGCTGCAGCAGGCAAGGGAACACGAGAGGACTCTCCGGCACTGCATAATGTGAGAACTCTCCGTCGTAACCCTTCATCCAGCTGAGCCGACTACTTCACATGCCTTGCAAGACTCGTCAGGTTCAGCTTCAACCAACCAAAGTCAGCGCAGACCCCAGTGTCGGCACGTTCCAGTTCGGAAACATCGGCCAGAGATCGAACACACCGCTCTCCGATGCAAGTGAAGCATTGATTTTGCTTCGGCACGAACTCAGTGCAACAGTCCTGTAGCCGCTCTTGACGCTGACACCACTTGATGCAGATCTGACGCAACGAGGCAACGTGCCGTTCCAACGACAGGACGCGAGGCGACAGTGCAGTGCTGGATGTTGCCCTTGTCTTCGCCATGTCTCGTGCCTGTGTATGAAGCTGATTTGCCGGAAAGACGTGGGTAGATGATGCAAGTCATGTCAGACTGACGGCGACACACGGACGTCAGAGCAGCCCACTGCACCTTGGAGTCCTCACTGCCACGCTGCGTTGCATGTGACAGCCTACAGCATAAGAAATCGTCCATGTAGAGTGAGCTTGTGCCCGAGAGTCATGAGCAGGCGTCTCAGAATCGGGTCTCGGTGCCGATGTCTGTTGTGATGGCTCCGCTGACACCTTTCCAAGGCAGCGATGCCGTGGATGGACTTGATGCCTTCCGAAGGCTCGAGAGCAACGACTTCCAGGTGCGCTTCATGAAAGCCGGGCTGGACAGGTGCGGAGGAAGTTTTGCTGCTGCTTTCACGTCGAATCATGCATATCTTCGCTGTGGTGCCATGTGTGACACGCTGAGCAGAGCAAAGTCGTGGTAAAACTTGTCCAAGCCAAGCCAGGGGAAGGTAGTTGTACTCTTGACGATGCCGATGATCAGGGATAGGAACCACTAACAGCAAGGAGTAAGGATGAGGGTATCAAGCAGAGCAGCAGTTTTCAAAATTACCCGGTCACATGTATGTATGTATGTATGTATGTATGCATGCATGTATGTATGTATGTATGAATCTATGTATGCATCCGTGCATGCATGCATGCATGCATGCTTGCATGGACGTACGTACGCACGTACGTATGGATGCAGGTCCGTGCGTACGTACGTACGTATGTACGTGTGTATGTGTGCATCTTTGTTGGTATGTGCCAGGAATCAGGGCAGATAGAGTAGGTAGGTGGGCATGCATGTATGCATGTACCCATGTATGTAAGCACGTAGTAAGCAGAGGCATCCTTTCATCCATCCGTCCATCCATCCATCCATCCATCCATCCTGTTTCTTTCTTGGTGCTTTCTAGGTACATAAAAACATATCTGTCCACTTCTTTATCTTACATGCCTTTCTGAAGCACGCACTCCAGCGTCTTTCCCCATTTCTGCATCTGAACTGCACGCCCCTGCACACCCACCATATTTTGAGACTCCATGTCTGGATATCAAGCCAACAAGCATTTCTGACACCTATATCATCGTGATTCAGCTGCACGCATAGCCGAACTTCCACTGCGCTTAGTCGTGTCGGTGTTTACTTGTCGCCTGAACATAAACTCCGACTGAGCTGATTTGGAGTCGCTGTCGACAGCGCAGCTACAGAGCCACGTCATATCAGTTGAGCCACGGCAGAATGGGGAGAACTGTTCCAGATATCAACTGATCACTTTCATTGAAGCAGAGGAGTCAAAGCTAGTTGGCAGGGGTCGTCAGCACAAGCACAGCACTACGACTATTGACATTGCAACAAGGGTATGCGGATGTGCAACTAGAACAGTTCGGAAACTCCGCACTCAAAGATGCGAAGACCTCGCAGGGTTGAGATTGAGACCTTGACAACGACCCCTGTGTTAGGATTCAAAATACGGCACTCCACCTGGCAGACGGCAGCAAACCAAAAGTATATTTGTCAGTGACGCCATCTCGGGTTGGCTAATCGGGTTTGGGTTTGGGATGTTTTCCGGGTAGAGAATAGCACATACTTCTGTTATCATCTTCTATAATACGGTCATTCAGCTCTCCTTGCTACTCGCTCCTCCGTGGCTTTGAGATGTGTCTAGCAAAAGACCTTTGCTGTTCGTGGATAGGTGGAGATACGGCCCGCACCGGGTCAAAAGCGGCCGAGGGATGATGATGAAGTCGAAATCATCGAGGCCGGGAAGGCTGCGACCCGAAAGTCGTAAGATGAAAGCAGATCCAGGCACCGGCACCGCCCGTGGACCTCAACTTCGAGGCCCCGGAGGCTTCAGACGAGGACCTGAAGGGTGCGGGAGGAGCTGCGTCCGTGTACATGCACTCAGGTTTCTAGAAACAGGGAAAGTCTTCGGAAGCAATCCGCTGATGCCGGTTCAGCTGTTGACGTTCGAGTCCTCTGAAACGCTTCGGCCGCTATGCACGTAAAGGAAGACAATGTGAGGGTGGTTCTTTGCGATGCAGGGCACCTGCCTCAGGCATTCGTAAGCTTCATTCAACGGACCATGTTCGTGTAGTCTGCATCCAGGCCGCGCAGTGGTGGGATGGCCTACTATCTGGGCCGGCTGGGTTCCCGGCTGCTGAGTGGTCGTGAGCAAAAAGCATCAGAAGCATTTGTGCAGGGCTTCTGCAGACGACTGAGTGCAGCATGTCATTTTTGGAAGCCCATGTTCTCGACTCGGGATTGACTTCTGAGGCAATGGGAGCGTGGCGCGGTCCATGGTGAGGGTGCAATAGATGGATCGCCCCGTCATAGGTTTTTCCTGTTGTCTCAAGCTATGGCGAATGAGATTCCGTGAGGAGATGCCGATGCTGGGCAGACTGCTGCATTGGCTCTAGACGGGGGCCTGGGTCAGCCGGCAGCGTCCAGCCAGCACGGTGTCCAAGCACCACCTGAGGTTGCTCCTGAGAATCAGGCGGAACTCGTTGAACAGGATGAGGCTTTGGGCTTTGGGACACCTGGGAAGATCCTGGAGCCTTTGAATTTGCTTTCGCCCAGTAAAAGCAGGACTTGGAAACCACCGTGGCGAAGATTTCCTTCCAAATGGATGAGGCGCCTTTAAAGGGCCCCTAAACAACACGAGAGGCGACGGCTGGCCGGGGGGGGGCCTTTGCGTCGGGTTTTTTTTCGAAGTCGCGCCGCGAGGCCGAGCTGGCGGACACGCCCTGGCGCCGTGCGGGAACCAACCTGTCCGACTTCTTCAACTTCGGGATGAGCGAGGATGAGTTCAAGGAGCAGCCGAGCAGCCCCCCATGCTCCCTGCATCCCCCTTTCTTAGCATCGTATACGATGTCTCTCCGTTCTGCGAGGAATACGTGATGCGCCGTGGGGTCCGGGTGCGGCTGGAGGCCTGGGCGCCTGCCCTGGGCCAGCCTGAAATTGCCACGCGAAGTGCGGCTTGCGGCCAGGCCAAGGGCCGCCGGAAGATCGAGCGCCTGGAAGGGGGGCGCCGGCGGGACTGAAGCGAGTCGGCGAGAAAGGGAACGAGGGGCCGTGTCTTCGGAGAAGTTGCTTCTGCCATGAGCCTCGAAACACCTCAAAACCACGCTGGCCCGACAGGCAAAGCAGCGGCAGCTTCAGGAAGACATGGCCAGGAGAGAACTGTTCGGAAGTCGTGCGGGAGGGCTTGCCTGGCAGAATGAGACGGTTCCATCTTAGGGGGTTGCGAGGTTTCTCGGACTCGAGCAAGCGCTCGGAAGTCCATGCCTTTCCCCTTCCCTTCCGCCGCTAGGAAGAAACATCCTGCAAGTGCGAAGGGCAGGTGGGGACTCTGATGGTCAACCTCTCATGGTCAAGCCGTTGTAGGCTTCTGTGGGCGCTATGTGCAGGCAACTCGCCGTCACGGCACCGCTATTCTCAAACTCGGAGGCTTGGTGTGCATCGCTTCAGCACGGGAATTCTCAGCTCTTGAGTTCATGCAACTCTTCTCCTCAGCTTTCGTCTCGAGACTCAACACGGTTCACATCGCGCAAGCATGGCAGATCGCTCCCTGGCAGTGCTTGACAAGGAGCTGGCAGAGCGTGTCGCCCTGGTCTCCGGCTTTGATGTGCGCTTGGTTCGAATCAGCTCAAAGATAGACCACTACCACGTTCTTCAGGGTCTCCAGGACTCTCAAGGCGAGACCTCGGAGTTCTACTGCTACCAGTGCTGGGGCGAGACGGGCACGCCCGGCAACAAGAAGCTCGATGGCCCCTTCTCTGAAAGGGAGATGCGGGAAGCTTTTGCCGGCGTCTTCGAGAAACGAACCGGAAGTGCATGGGGAAGTTTGAAACCAGGAGAAAGGGTCGCTGATGGAAATTTCTGGTGGCAGCAGGTGAGTGCTGCGGATGAGCAAGCCCTCTGGCAGTACTACGTGCACGACGGCGTGGATGGCAAGAGACGTGGCTGGTATCCGTACGAGGACAGGTTTGCAGGCATGACCTGCGACGGTGTGACAGTTGTGCCTTCTTTCAGCATGTTACAGCTGGGGTCTGCTCGCTCCGACTTTTGAAGCTTCTGATGTGCAGCCAGCCAGTAGCTAGAGAAGAATTTGGCATGGTAGCAGGACGATGCTTCTGCTTTGGTGGAAGAGATGTTTGCGCAGCACGTGAGCAACGACCAGGAGAAGCGTACAGCCGTCAGGACGGTGTCTTCAGGCCAGGCGTGTGGGTCTGTGGATAGTTGTGGCAGCAGGCTGCCTCAACAAGAAGCGCTGTGCAAGCCCATTCCGTTCCCGTCCAGGATATTTCTCCTACAGAATCGACTTGGAGGCCATGACGCAGGAGAATGCAAGGACCGGCAAAGTCCGTGCCATCCGGCGGTTCACGAAGACCGCGACGGAGTCCACGAAGAAGCGTGCTGCCAAGCGGCCGCCAGCCGATCGTAAGAAAGTGGCGAAGACGATTCTTAAGACGAGGAGCCCGAAGTGCCTAAAGCCCAAGGCAAGGGAGCCCAGCAAGCCCAAGGCTGGCAAGCTTGCCAGGTCTGCCACGCCTGCCAAGCCTGCCAAACCTACGCCTGCAAAGGTCCCCAAGGCCCCAAAGGCCTCCAAGGGTCTCAAGGCCCTCAAAGCCAAGGCCAAGGTGGCAACAGGCAAAGATGCCAAGGCCCAAGTCTTCCAGGGCAAGTTCACCCGGACTTCTACCGGCCTCAAGAAGAAAGACCTCAAGAAGAACAAGTATGGAAAGGTGGTGAGCAAGAGACTTTCCGAAGCAGGTTTGGATGAGTCTGCCTGTTCTCGGGTTGGGTTTGTAGTGCCACGTGAGCTCGGCGAGTCCACTTGCTGTGGTTGTAATTCCGGAGGCCGGAAGAACTTCGCGCGGGTTGCTTGCTGGATTGCCGCCTGCCAGAAAGCACGGGATGAGCTTGGCATCACCGGCTTCGTTGCAATCCGAAAGGACGCGAACGCATAGCTGACCCCCATGCAGGTCGTTTGGAGCACTTGACTCAGAAATGGCCTTGTTAGGGACGGGACGGTCCATTGCGAGCTTTGTCGATACAGTGATGGGCCTTCCTCGAAGTTGCATCAGAGCATGGTGCATTGTCAAGTGAGTTGAGCGGCTTCGTTTAGTAAGCCAATCTGAGCAACACTCAGAGGGACATGGATAGCAAAACAGTCATCAAACGGCACACTTCACTGACAGGATAAGAGTAAGTTGTGAAGGATAAAGCAAGAGCAGGACATATGGAAGGCGAGAATGAAATTATAAACAGAGAAGTAACCCTGCAACAGAGAAATCATCTGAAAGCGGAGAACGTCTGCCGAGAAGGAGGAAAGACAAACACCAACAGGTGACGTGAGAGCCAATTGGCCAGAAGGAAGCGAAGGAAAGGATAAGGACATCGTGAACTTATGGAAAAGCAGGAGAGGCTTAGGAGGAATAGCGAAGAAAAAGCATTGCACTTCTAGCTTGCGGAAGAGGATACGGTTCGGACAACAATGACAGTGATGATTTCTGGTTATGAGAGACACGGGGCGATTCAGTTCAAAGCCACCTTATTCTTGTTCCGGTTGACGAGACCCACAGTCTGCACATTGTGAGTGCAAGATGTGAATTCGACCAGAATCGTGGGTGTCACATACCGAAGGGGCTTGGAAGCTCGCAGTCGCTGTTTGCAGTTTCCTTGAAGTCAAGACAGAGCAATGGAAGCTTCCGACTCGACCATCATCGTTTTCATACCACTGTGACTATCACCTTCCTCTTCATCATCAGTAACATGTGTTAGTACGTATGCATGAATGCATGCGATGTCTTGGGCAAGAATGTTTGTGTGTGTATGTGTGTATGCATGCATATATGCATGCATGTGTGTACGTATGTGTGTAGGTAGGTAGGTATGTATGTATTTGTGCGTGTGTATACACATAGGTTATGCATATTTATGCATATGCGTGTACATAATTTAATATAGATTCATGGGTATACACCGGGTATATATATATATATATATATACGCATGTAAATATATATATATATATATATGTATATGTATATGTATATGTATATGTATATGTATATGTATATGTATATATATATATATACATACGCACAGCTACATGTGTGTGTGTGCGCGTGTGTTCCTAGGTACATGTGTACATGTGTGGATATGTGCGTACCTGTATGTGTATGTATGTAGAAGTACTTACATATGCATGTTTTATGTACACATGCATTTACGCATGTATGCATGTATTTATGCATGTATGTAGGTGTGTAGGTATGTAGGTATGTGCATGGGTAGAGATGCGTAAATAGACCATTGAATCAATATGTATATATATATATATACATATATATATATGTATATGGCATATATGGCTACCTTCCTGGTTTATCTACCCTTTTTGGGCATTTTTCGGGTGGAAATGACCGAAGTGGCCCATTGCCGGGGCTGTGACGCATCGCGGCCGATTGGAGGGGAATGCTTGGTTGATGCGAAATTGCGGAGGGAATTGGGAATGGTACCCTGTCCCCCCAATCCCCAAAAGCCATACATGCACTAGGAGTTGTTGTATGTAGGATTATAGGTATAAAGGAGACTTGGTCTTTGAGGGGGTTACCACATACGCTAATCCCCTCCCTCAAAGACCAAAGATTGACAGTAAGTAGCCTTCATTGCTTCAAGGACGCGATCGAAAGGGTCCTCACGGTAGGCACTCCTTATTAGTGGTGTTACGCCTTCATACAACTAGTTTGATATTTCTGAAAGGTAGGCGTAGCCACCCCTGCAAAGACGTATCGACTTCTCTTCTTTGGATTTGTCAAAACTCTGGACTACACCCCCTGGTAGAATAAAAAAATTTGGCCCACAGCCCTTAACTTTAACACCTGAAAGCTATCCTGTATGCTGCTATATCTTACGAAAATGCGAGCAACATGTGTAATCAACTATACAAGGTTCAATTCGACGGCCAGTGTTTCGGTTGCCACCACTTGTGCATGCGTACGTGGATGTTAATATAGTATTGCAGCAACCCGTAATAGGCACCAAAGTATGCAACAAAGGCTTTGCACCCCGAGTCACAGCACAAGGAATCCCAAAACGCATTGATTCGGCAACGCACGTGATTCCATGGTACTTATGCTGCAGCTCCTTGTCTTTCTATGTTTTGTTTTATCTTAGCCGTCCTAACCTCCCAAATGCAAGCTTCTTCTTGTTACATCGTGATTTTGTACATCACGAGGTCTCACATGCGACACGGACAGCAAAACTCCTATGTAGATGTGTAGATATGCATTTTATGCAAACTAGGCAAAAGCATCAATACTAACACTACAAACATAGGTAGATTTGTAAACGCACTTGGTTCTAGATACTTTCTTTATAAGGTGTTAAGACCGGGGGTACATTCAATGCCTGCATGCGGGGAGTTACATCTGAGCATCGGGTCAGCGTTGGTCTGTGTAAGTGGCTATGCTGTATGACACCTGTATACTTGATACTTGACATCGATTTGTATCTGATGCTTGTGTATATGTAATCAACTATGCAATATTATTGCAGTCTTGATATTGTTTTTGCTGCGGCCGTTACTACATGGTTGAGAAATAACTAGCTTTGTATATGTGTTAGGCGCAGAAACCCTGTATTTCCCCAGCCAGAATGATATTACCGTGATCAAGCACGTTGCACTAGGGCTTGTCGGCTGCTCTCGTATGTGACAATGTACTATGCATTGCCTACAAAATGCTGGTACAGCCCTACCGGGGCATCCTATGTTTGAGGAACCTTATTGCAGACTAGAAAAATGCAACAGATACCAGAATACATGCTTGCGCACGTGTCGCGGGCAATGAGGGCAGTCCCGTCCCGATGCATTCCGAGTTTTGAAGTTCAATCCACCGGTGGTGCATATTCCAGCGCGGAATACACAGTATTTACACCAAAAACTGGGAGATAACCCGCGGGGGGGCGGGGGGACCATGCATATATGTATATATATATATATATATATATACATATATATATGCATGCATATATGTGTGTATGTATCTGTATGTTCATGCATACATACATACAAACGTACAAACGACATGAATCATACATGCATTTCTATGCAAAGGTAAACATACGCGACTGCATCCGTGTATAGATCTGCTGGTTTCTGTATTTGTGCTTGTCCTGGCACCACGCAGGACACGGAACTCTACAAGAAGGCGAAGGAGCTCTGTCCGCACGTGGAGCCACACGTCCTTGGGACGGCAATGCGGTAGGTGGCAGCCTCGCGAGCCGTGCCGAGTCTCGAGACATTTTGAACTGCACGACTGGCCTTTCTGCGTGTACAGTGTGCAGCCATGGCAGATGCAGGCATACGTTGTATAGTGATTTCTGAGTTCTACGGTGCAGGAAACTTTACGTAGTTTGTTGGTGTGTAATACATCATGCTCTGTGTATTTCACGTGACTTCCGGCTGGTATTGAGAAAGAGACGCATGCGGCATAGTTCTGCAGGATTTGGCAAGTTCTGCTTCGGCTGTCAGGGGCGAACTGTTGAAGTGAACAGTCCCCAGAAGCTCGGAAGCTTTGGGTTGCACATCTTGCAGAACGAGGGTAGGCCTCTATGTTTTTTGGCGTCACAGAAGGGACACAGGATTTTCAAACAGGGGCCGCACAACAACGGCCTCCCATCTTCACATGAGCCACTCTAGGGCCTGAGGTCGGCGGAGAAGGTGTGCCGTTCATCACCTTGTGCCAGTCCTGAGCTGTTGCAGGCTTATGTACCTTCGCGGCGGCTGGAAAGCAGCTTGGGCCTCGGCATCCGTCAAAAGTCAAGGGAACTTATTGATAATGTCGGGCACTCGTGCTACCGGTCGCCTTGCTTAGGCAGCGTCCCGCGGAGGCTGTGCTTTCCGGTCCGAAGAGATTTGACATGCCTCTGCACCTGTCATTGTCGGTCCTGCATGTCGCATGAGAAGGTATGGCCGCTCGAATTCGCCTGACTCCGACGCGAGGCACCTGACCGGTGCTGTCTTGGGAGATTGCCTGAGCGCTCCCGACTAGCAGAGCCAAACGTCAGAGTGGTGGTTCTCTGTCTGTGTGCCAGGCATCGACAGAAGCTCAGCAAGGCTTCTGCTTTGCTTTCAAGCAAATGAACAGTGAGCCCAGAGAACCGCTGAGACCGCGAGAACTTTTGTCAGCTCACCCTCACGTGATGTACAGAAGTTTTAGATACACCTCCGGCGGTTCTGCTACAGCCCCTGTCTGTGCGGGAACTGCCCCTGTGCTAAGCTTGTCTGTCCCTCCTGGAGACTCCATTTGGATCGGCGGGCTTACCCGTGCTTGACTAGGAATCTCAAAAGCATAACGCGGTAACGCTGGGGGAAGGCTGACTTTGCGCAGACTTCGCAGGTCGTGTTGTTTGAACACTGCAAGAAAAGTGAGCCATTGAAGCATAGCCGAACTGCTGGAGCAACACCGTGGTGCTGCTGGAGCTGTTGCTAGTTTTTGATGTGATGCTGTTACGGCTTTCGGCTGATTATCTGGTACTCAAAGATACCCCATGTCTGAAAGTCTTCAGCTGAAGTACGGTAAGAACACGCCGAAGCTCTATACATCGTTGGACGGAACCGAACCGAGTGGGTTGCAATTGGAAGCACCACATCCCCCAAAACACAGGGAAAGGCATTGGAGTCACAACGATTGCCATAGTCACTTCGCAGCCGCGCTTTTCAGCGTGTGGCAACGGGCCGCGTCCCTGACCATCGTGAGACCTCCCTTCCGGCCTGAAGATGTACTGTCGGTGCAAGGCCATGCTGGGAATTGCAAGCTACGACTCAGACGAGGAGCCCCAAGCAGGTGTGGGAAGTTTCTGTTTTCTGCGCTTTGCATCCCGCTTCATCGGACTGTGCCTCTTGTCCCTGACAAGCCCCTGCTGCCGAAGCAGTGCCCGCGGCAGCGGAACCGCCAGCAAAGTGGCCTGGCTTGGATGGCGATGGCAGTTTGGTAAGGAAGCAGCTGACGAGTCATTGGCGGGAAGCTTCTTGAATTCTTGTGACCGCTCGTGTCTCCAGGCGGCAGCGTACAGAAGAATCCGCCACGGTGACTAGCTCGGATAAGTGCGGTTCTGAATGGTTCCGAATCTCAACGGATGCATGCAGAGGACCTTGCGCCGAAGACGCTGGCAAGGTCTGCTCGCATTGCCCTGACAGCCGGAACTTATGCACCGTAAGTCTATAGCTGCTATATGAGTATGTTGTGTGCACAGACACACTCACGGACGGTCTTGATCTGGCATGCCCTGTCTGCAGTGCATGGAGAGGCCAGAGCTTCCGACACGGGTGCGAGAGCAGAAGCTGCGGGAGATCAAGCGGGAGGCCGGACCGGACGAGGTTGTCTCCTTCTTCTCATGTCCGGGGCAATTTGGCCGTTGCTGAGATTTCCCTGGCCAAGAGTGCGACGGCAGTCGTGCAGGCACGACTCTGCTAAGTGTTTGCATGCTTGTAGTTTCGAGTTCCGACGTTTTGCGCTTCAGATTCTTGATGTGCATTCATTGCCAAGAGGTTGTGAGGCAGAACATCAAAGACTGCACGTTGCTTACTTCAGCTTCCTCCGATCTGCCCCATTGCGGATATCATTCGCTTTCTGAGGCTGGGATGCGCGCTGGGGGGCGGAGGCGCTCTACCAGGCAGGGCAGTGCTTAACGTCGAACACGCCTCTCATTGCTACTCCGCTGCTCCCGGAGCATCCCGGAGCAGAAGCGAAGGTGGCCAAGCGATCCACGGCGAGGACGCGACAGGACCCCCTTGCTCCTTTCAGGAAAGGGCGAAAGGTTGTCGTCTTGGCGAGACGACGCGCCTGTGTGAAAGGAGTGGGCGGAAGATAAGGCGGTCTTGAAGCTGGCGGAGAAGCTGAAGGAAGACGCCGCAAACTTGGACTTCTTGATGAGAGTCCACGGGTAGCAGCTGAGCGCCCGAGGCAGCTTCTGGGAGCCTGGGGCTGACATGCCTGGATTCTGTGAGGTGTCCTTTGAAGCGGTGCTTTGTCCATTTTTGCAGGACTCCACGAAAGCGTCGCTGCGTTGCTAAGGTGATGCAGACATCATATTGCTGTCCATGGAGGCTCTCAGAAGGATGACGATACAGGAGCTTCGAAGGAGAGTTGCCGGCATTTTCGATGGTCACCCGGTCACCCCTGTTCCAGGAGTCGCAGGATCAGAAGTCCATCATAGAGGTGGATCATGTTGATCCTTTTCTTGACGTCCGGGTTCAAGAGAGGAGAGAGGGCTTGAAAGTCACCAGCTCGAGCACTCTGCACTCGGCCCAGCACGTCGTCTCCCTGATGGTCGCTCGAAGCTGGCGCTCTCCTGCCAAGAGCCGCGCCCAAAGGCTTCCTTCCTTGCCGGAAACCTCGTGCGGGAAGGTTCTGAAAGGGTCCTCCCTCCAAGGCCTTGCGCGGCTTTTCTGGCTCGGTGCGCCCTTGAAGAGCGAAGGTCGTGGTCCCCGGAATCAACAAGCTAACGCCATGCGCCTTCATTCTGCTTTTCTCGGGACAGGCACGCTGAAGGACCACTTCGAGTCGAAAGCCCTGCCCTCGCTGCTCCGCTCGAAGCAGATGGACCTTGCCACGGCCCCATAAGCAAAGCTCTGCAAAGGGCAGTGTGCAGTGCTGAGACTGCAATCCCAGGATGGGCCAGACTTGGCCCTGATATTGGCCGCCATGAAGGGCGAGAAGGGTGCGGAGCCAGGAGGTTTTAGGCACAATCAGAGGGGTCGGCCGCCTTTCCTTTCTGGAGGTGTGAAGGACACCGCCCTCCAGTCGAAGGTGGGCAATGTCTGCCGTCCTTCCCTTTGTCCATTGTGACATCCATTCTCACTTCTTCAGGTGGTGCTACGACTGAAGGAGAAAGGCATCCATCGTGGCCTCTCTGCAACTGCCGCTTGATTGAGTTTTATTGCAGTCTTGGAGGTCCCTGCTGCAACCGTTTTTGTGCTTTGCCAGATCCTGGCAGGACATTGTGGAGATGGCGGAGTCTCTTCAGGTCCTTTCACCTTTGTTAAATTAATCCTTCGAGCCCAATGTGGACTCACGCAAATTGCCACATTGCCAGGACCTGGGAGTGCAAGACCAGGTGCCCCTGAAAAGAGTCTTGCGAGGTGACTTGGCTAGAGTAGTGTTCCAATGCATCTGAGAGGCGGCCTTGAGGCCCTTGGGCCAGGAAGCGCTGCGCCGGCGAGGCGAGGCTTGGCCGAGCCCGGCTCTGCGGTTCGGCAGTGTGCGTGCTTTGTCTCTTTGTTCCGCTGTCCACTCAAGCATTGTCAATACTTCGTTTCGTGGCAGGCGAGCTGACTCCCGATGAGTCCCATCGCATCCACACCGCATTCCAGGCGCAACAGCGCCTTGGCAGTGACGTTCAAGTCTGCCGGATTCCGATTCACAAGACAGGCGATGAAGCAGCCGCTTCCGCTGCTCGGCTTTTGGCAGCTTGAACCAGGGGAGCAACACGCGTCTCAAGCCGTGCTCGTGAGACGTTGCCAAGGCAGGTCTGGGACAAGCCAGGCAGCACGAAGACGAAGCAGACAGAAAATGGCAAGGTCACCACGCAGGCTGGCGGCTGGACATGGATCCCGCGTCTTGAGACCTCAAACGCCTGCTTTACAGGCCTTTGCCTTACAAGAAGGGCACGAAAAGAAGCGGCACGGAAACAACGATGCGTGGCAGAGCTTAGTATTTGCACTTCAGCTGGATTTTGTGGTCTCGCTTCATCCCCGTTCTGAGTTGTGCTCCTTTACATTGCCCCGATATCTCGATGAGTCGCCCCTTGTTGTTGCCAGCAGCCAGCCCCATCGGCGTACCATAGCGCCGCAGCCCAGTGGGTCTGTGGCAAGAAGACGAGGAAGCGCCACTCCTGGCCAAGCAGGATGAAAAAGAACACCAGCAATGTGAGCTGGATGACAGGATCTGACATGCAGCTACGGAAATAGGGTGAGTTCTAGAGTCTGTTCGCAGGAACTTCTAAGGTAATCTTCCCTGCGAAGGGGACCTTCGCAAGACTTAGCTCTGGATTTAAGCATCTGGCCTCTCGCCCAAGGACATCGAGCGAACGTGGATCCGGCATCTTGGCCTCCGCAGGATGGTTGAATTTCACGTCGTGCCAGGTCTCCTCCCAGAGTTGTCCGAGATATGAAGATGTGCTCCTACTGAGAGGGCAGGGCAGCACCGCGAACAGCTGGGAGACGGGCAACAAAGCACTGCACTTGGCATGCGGAGTCCATGAGTGTGCTCTTATTGATGTGCTCCGACTGCAGAGGGCCACGACAAGTCGAATACCTCGCCTCACTTCTGTGCATCTCAAGAACAGGATGCAAGCCTAGAGCTAGCGAGCTCTTCGCATTCCGGTCATGGTATTTAGTACTAACACAAGCTGAAGCTAAAAGACCGTGTGAGCGCTCACATCTGCGTGCAGCAAGAGATTTACAGCATCATTCCCAAGTGCCTCGCAGTGAACATGCAGGCATTTGAGGCATTCAGATGAGAGTCAAGAAGTAGTGCATGAATTACACAGCAGTCTTCCTTCTGTGTTGGTAGGTGGAGGCTCCAGCAAGCACTGCAACAGGCAGCACTCCTTCGCTGCGCAGGTGCCTGGCAGTAGGATGCTTTCTGCAGGAGTTGCGCGAGATTGTTGGGTTTGTCCGCCAATCTTATAAGTACCTCCGTGGGATGCAGAGACGAGCACTCGAGCTTCTTCTGCAAGGATCCATGTGTCGACGTCTTGAGTCTAAGAAGAGCGGTTTCATGCTCGATGATCAAGCGGGTTGAATTTTCAGGGTGTGCAAAAACCGACACCATCACTCAGGCAGGTCGCGGTTGTCGTCGCGCCGATTTGCTTCGCGGCTGCCTTGCTTGGCGGCAGCAGAACTCAGTTCAGCAGCATAACTGCATAACGAGACAACAGCCATGCAGGGCGATCCTGTGAAGTGCACCCTTGAAATGTCTCGGTTGCAGCCCATAAGCCCTTGAGCTTTTTCTTGCCGAGTCTGTGGACTGGCCGGGCTTTTCTCGTCGCCGGATCTTGGCCTGAAGCCCAGCCATGCAGAGACGAGGATTCGGGGGATGATCACATGGAGCCTACTCTCTAAAGAAGGTAACAGGGCCCTGCTCAAGTCGATGCAGGGCGCAAAGGTCGGGTCCCGAGCCAAGGGACGCGGCTGGACTGTTTCCGGGATGTGTGAGGAGAAATGTGAGGAGGCCGACGAGGTCCTTCCGGGCCGATTCCGTCGGGGCCCTGGGCTCTGGCAACTCACTTTGGAGTTGAGTTAGTGTTTCTCCGCCACGGTCAGGCCCGCGCTGCACCGAGGACGGCAATTGGGCTTCGCATCAGTGCCCAGGACCCAGCTCTTCGCGCTTCAGACCTCAAGGCCCACCGTAAATGGAGGGTGCTTGAAGCCACCGCAAGGTGATGGCAGCACCGGCATGTGCTGGTGCGCAGACAAGGCCAGGCCTTGCCCGACGGGTTCTGAACGCACCAAGGGAAACTGCGACGATCGCCCACTAACAGGCTGGCCAATTGCTAGAGGGAACTCGCGGCAAGCCTGGCAAGGGGCCAAGGCGGGCAAGAGAAGGACCTGCCTTCAGACCGCACTGCAGTTTCGCTGGAGCTTTCGCTTCAAGGCACAAGGCCGAATTGCAGGACAGCATGCCAGTCCAGCAGCCCAGCCACCCAGCCCCCCGAAAGTTGGCGAATTGCCGTCAACAGCCCAGATGCCTGGCAAACCCTGAAAGCAGAAAGCCCATTTGTCAAGTCACCTAGATTAGAGCACTGCATTGGAGCATCACTCGCCATGGGCCAAAGCATCTCAGGGATTTTAAGCTTTTTTGGCGGCGGGTCGAAACAAGACCCTTCGCATGCCGACGATGATGAGGACTCCATCCGGGCATGTGGCTCACACGCATCTGCAGCAGTGCCCCGAGAGGATGTTCCAGAAGCTTCCCGAAGATACAAGAAGTGTCCAGCCTGCAGTTTAGCGCAGCGAGGTGTGGCCTCAGCGGGTTGATTGAGCGCCGGTTCCAACGAAAGTGTAGAAAGGAATTGTCTCCCCAAGGTTCAGAAAGCATGAGGAGTTGTTTGCTACTTCCATTCTCGACAGCTGGGTGGCTCCGGAGTTGCTGGAGTCTTGTCTGGAAGAGGGGACGGACATGACGGCTTCGGTTTGTCTTGGACTGTGTTTGATGTCAGGAGATTGTCCGAGCTTGCAAGTCTGGATTCAATTGCGAGCCCCGTGAAATCTGTCCACATCTCCGCGGCGGCCTGAGAGAGAAAGAGAGCCAAGCGCAGCTGTGGCTTGGGATAGAAGTTAGAAGAGCTCTCCTCCGATTGTGCTGCAGTTCCCGGTCGGAGATCTTTCCCAGGCGAGGAGGTGGCGGGTGTGTACTCGTTCCCCTGCTTCACGAAAGACTTCATCTCTTGCTTCAACGAGGAGATGCGCCAGTGTCATGTGAGGGATACCAAGGAAAGGGTAAGTTGATATCCATGCAGAGGATAGAAGGTCGGAAAGCCTTATCTCCCGTGGTGAATACAATGACCATTGATGTCTGTGGCTGCGCGTAAATTTTGGGGAGCAGCGCGTGACGACGCGACGGCGTGACGACGTGAGTTTTGCCGCGACGACGTGAAGCGCGTGAAGCGCGTGACGGCGTTAACGGCGTCAACGGCGTCAGCGGCGTCAACGGCGTCAACGGCGTCAACAGCGTCAGCGGTGTCAACGGCATCAACGGCGTCGCACTGTGACCATTGATGGATACTAGTTCTTGCGAGAGCCTGAGGTGCAAAGCGCCAAACCATGCCATCTGTGGTTTTCGATACTTTAGCCATTTACTCCAAACGTGTCAGGGTGGGAGGGGTTTCGGGTTGAATGTGTACATGAATGGACTTGAGCCTAAAGGCTTGTTGGCAGGGCTTGTCATGTGGCCTTAGCATGTAATTATGTATGTTCAAATAGGCAACTAATGACGTCAAACAGTCATTTGCAGAGGGTTTTGTGGTGTAGCTATGGCTTGAGGGTACAGGGCTAAGAGGCTTTCATGCAGCACCTACACTGCTGCTTGATGCTTGCGCAGACCGCCACGCGAGAGGCCCCATATCCGCCGAACCCCTAAGCCCACGAGTCCTTGACCCCATAAACCCTTGCAACTCCGCTAGCCACTTAAGACAGATAAGCCCGCATCTCGGATACAAGCAAGCCACTCCAACATGTCATGAAAAGGGTTAGGTCTCGAGGGCAGGCCACCGGAATCGTTGACACAGCAGCTCCCAATCTGTCAACCCGAATTTCCTTGTCCAAGGATGCCTGGACTTGAATTGATTTTTAGACAGTTGAGAAAACACGAGCCCCCAGGCCCTTCTTATGTAGATCATCTTGAAGCAGTTTCACTCGAAGACGTTATCACCGATATTTGGCTCAAGACACAAAATTAGCGTTATCATCACTGTGTCTTGGAATCAGAGATTGCCCTGCAATTAACTGGTTAACAGCCTCAGCTTTGCTTGGTGTAGGTAGTGTAGGAGCCTACCGACGCCATAGCACCTTCCATATTGCTCCCTTAGGGTAGAGCTTGAAATCGGAGTGTCATTGGTCTGCGAGAGACCTACCCGCCATTCCACTTCTCTTTCCATATTTGCACTGTTATCTGTACTCCCCGTGTAGGTAGAGCCAGCCACCGGGTAGAGTCTGTCCTTTCTTTCACATTCTTGCCAACCTCTGCCCCTGCTTCGGCACCCAGCCAACAGGGAGCTTTCCATATTGCTGAACCACAGAATCATTAGTGTATGCCCACGCCTGAGGGTTGGCCTGCGCTTTGGGAACGTGTGGTTTACTTCTTCACAGAGCTGTATTACGATATCCGAATCTTCATCCTAAGGAGGTTCTTTCCTGCATACTTGGCCAGGCGCCAACGTTGGGTTAGAGTCCGTGTGAGGTTGCGCAGGCTTGTGCGTAATTTGCTTCGCTCCTTCTACAGGAGAGGTGAGCTCACGATTGCCTTGTATCGCATTCATCACGCATCTCATCCTAGGTACATAGACGACACCGCCTTTGTACCAATCTATCTTCAGGTTCCTCGTTATTTCCCATAGCTGTTGTTCGTGTCTCCACTTCGTGTGTCGAGGCGCGCACTCTCTCCTCCGCCTGCTGCGTCGAGGAGACAGCTTGGACCATTCTCTAGGTACAGGGCTGATTCGGCAACTGCCAACAGCCCCTGCTATCCTCAACATCTTCCTTGACTTCCCGAACAGCCGGTGTCGGCACCTTGCCACCCGGAACACCCGAAATCCAATCACCTTGCCCAAAGGTCCGTTCACGACTTCAGGGTAGCAAGGCCTCGTGGTGATTGGAAGGATTAGCTGAGATTGGGTTCGATTTCTGGTTTCGGTTGATCTCATAAGATTTGGGATTCTGGAACAATCGAAAGCACTTCCACCTCTGCTGCCGTGTTGGCACACAGCCACCGGCCGCATCCTGGTTGGTTGTGGTTGGTTGTACTGTCGGTTGAGTGTGGTTTTCCGACGAAGTCACCTGCATCATCCGATAGGCCATCAGTTAAGCCAACGATTCTGGCATAGGGACAGTTAAGCCAACGATTCAGGCAAAGGGTAACATCAAGCCACAGTAGCGGCATTGGGGGATACATCAACTTCAAGCCACAGTTCCGGCACTGGGGTAAATTTGCAAGCCACTCTAACGGCACGGGGGGTTTGTATCGGGACTTGGAGTTAATCGGCTTCCTCGTCTCACCCGTATATGCTGTCACCGGAGCGCCGTGAAGAGCTTTTTGGACTTGCTGCGGCATTTGGAGCCGACACCCGTGCTTCTAGAGGTGGCCGGGCCGCCAACAATAAGCGCCGCTCACTTCATATAAAGCTGCTTCAGCTTTGGCGAGAGAGTTTGACAAACCTCGCCGAAGAAGTGTTCCACAGGCCTCCTGGGCAGGTGCCGGCATTGGCTTCCAAATTCTTTAGGGTGAGCGCGCGGCTTACACAGATCTCCGCGTCTGGGTACGTGATCTATAAGGGGGCTCCTCTCCTTCCGGGGGAGGGGGAGGTGGAGGGGGAAGAGTCTGACTCAGACTCGGTGTTGCAGGAGCCCGTTTCGCTACAGGATTTGGCCGAGGTTTCTTTGGATTCTTTGGACACTTCGGAGCGAGCAGAGCCAGCATCTTCATCCGCCGAGCCAGCGTCTTCATCTTCCCACTTGGGCAGCTCACTTGAGCGCAGGTCGCGATCGCCTCCGGTTCGTGACCAGCCTGACTTCAGTGTGTTAAGTGGTTCCAATAGGCTAAGCTCCGGTAGACCGCTTCCTCCTGAACCCCCTTCTGCCCCCCTTAGACCCGTGCTAACACAGCACATTTCGGCAACAGGTCCCACTGCTGCGCCTGAGATCCCAGAACGGAGACCCAAGCAGAAGGCTAGGCCAAAGCAGCGCCCGGTCGAGCCGTCAGGCCCACCGCCCAAGCCACTGTCTTTGCTCCGGTGCGACGAGAATCCACTTTATCTTGCTGCGGCAATTGATCGCGCGGTTGGCGAGCAAGGAGGCGTCACCCATATTCTCTCCCTTGATTACCACGGAGTGTTGGATAGGACCTTCTTGCAGCCCCGCTTGCTTTTCGAACACTTGTCTCGACGCAGCAATATACTGGTCCTTGTCAATTCCAAATGTTCAACGGAAAGCTTGATTGAGCACGCGTTGGAGTACGTGCGCGAAGTGGCAATCTCAGCGCGGTATAACGTGCGTAGCTTGCCGCTTTTCTTTATCAGGCGACCGAACAAGGCCCAGCGACTCTGGTCGGCGATCTCAGCTTCATTTTTGAGCGACGGGATCCCAGTGATCCACGTGGACGATAAACCGTCAATCATTGCTGAGTTTAAGCACTGGGATCGCTTTGGGTGGAACGGCTTGGTACTTCACCCTGCCCGCCGCACAGAGCTGTGCGACCTTGTCCTTCCGGCCATGTCTGAGTGGTGAGGGCGCAAGGGATTGAAAAGAACACGGGAGTTTCGGCGTTCGCCAACCCCGCTTAAGTCCCCAATTGCTTGAATCATGTCCCACGAAATGTCGTCAGAGGAGCAAAGCTCCTTGCAGATTACTTCATCCAGTAGTGGGGTTAGGGCATTGCCGGCTAGAGCTTCCTCCAGGTCCTCCCGAGGGTCGCGTAGTAGCCACAGCTCTTCCCCATCGCCAACAGTAAGAAAAGGACCTCACCTTAAGCAATCCCCAACCTCCGACAAAGGCCCTGGTAGTGGTTCGTTGGTGCCATTCGCCAACCAATCTCCACACAACCGGAGCCCAGATGATGGCCCCATCGTGCGCACAGGAGCTGCGCCAGCCCGGAGCATTCCATACGTTCCTACCGGCCAGGGTTCCCAAGGGTCTGGGGTTCAGGATAGCTCGGGAGTGAGGTTGTATCAACAAAACATTAGCATAGGACTTGACCCCAATGAGGTGATGGTTCAGGCTAGAGAGTTCGAGTCGACGGTTTATGGTCAGGCCCAAGCGGTGGTCCAGGAGGCCCAGGGTCAAGCGAGGGAAGAGGCTAGACAATTCGGAACGCAAGTTGTCAATCAAGCTCAGGCTGCGGTTCTAGAGGCTCAAGCAATCGCTAAGGCAGCAGCAGCCGCAGCAGTCGAACAAGCCAGATCCGAGTTGAGACTAGAAGTCCAGCAGCGTGAATTGGCATTCCAACAAAAGGAAGCTGAACTGATTGCGCAAATCCGTACATTACAGAACGAGGTCACTGTGCTTCGTCATCAGAGCATGCCTCCACCTTCGGACCCACAACCAAACATCCTCAATGGCACGGAGTTAGCCTCTACCATTGCTGAGTTAAGGGCTGAGGTTAATACATTGCGGGATTCCGTAACTAGCCCTCGAAGACCTAGATTACCGTTGTTCAGCGGCGTCGGCACTCGGCCACCCGCTGCCTCATACCAGCGAGCACCCGCTCCAATAGCACCATCGATAAGGCAGAATCCTTCACCACATCCTTCATGGCATGGTTCCCCGGTCAAACATGACCCGTATTCAGATGACGATTCTGATGATTCGGAATTGCGGTTAGACTTCGGAGGTCCTCCAAACCCTTCTGATCCTAGCCCGCACGGTAGCGCCGGGAGCCATCGAAGCTACAATAGCCGTGGTGTCGGGTCAACGATGTTGTTTTCGGAAGATGATGTGTGCAAGCACAAGGATTTGTCGTTGGTAAAAGTCGACTCTCTCCCTCGCGATGCTGCTCAGTTTAGATCCTGGAAGAACGCTTTTGTGACCAAGGTATGTGCCATTGATAGGACCGGTTCTGATACATTGCTCAAGTGGCTTCTGCCCGCATTTGAATCATCACAGGATGCGGACCTGTCAGATCCCCAGGGACTTCCGAGGTTTGACGCGCATTTGGCATCACTTCTTGCAGACCCGAAGCATCTCAACAA